GGTATTTGGGATTTCTCATATACGAGATGCAAGTATAGCATCCAATATAAATTTTAGAATTGTTATTTCAATTCGAATTTCACGTGTAAAAATTTACATGTGAACACGTATATATATGAATATATTATATATACACATATAATTTCCGCACAACACCTAGCGAACGGCTCCTATGACCGAATATATATATTTATTAGTTTAGAAACTTCAGAGCCTGAAGAAATTTTTTAATTGTTTAATTCACGCTGGAGGAAGATGGCGTTGTTTGAATATATATATATGAATATTGCGAGAAAAACTCCAAGTGCCTCGGTGGCCGAATAGGAAAGGCGACTGCACGGAAAGCCGGAGATTCCAGGTTCGACTCCTGGCCGAGGAGTTTTTTTCGCAATATAAATTTAATTTCAATTAGGGGGGTATTTAGGATTTCTCATATACAAGATGCAAGTATAGCATCCAATATGAATTTTAGAATTGTTATTTCAATTCAAATTTCACGTGTAAAAATTTACATGTGAACACGTATATATATGGATATATATACACATATAATTTCCGCACAACACCTAGCGAACGGCTTCTATGACCGAATATATATATTTATTAGTTTAGACTATATTTGATTTAACTATAGCATTATTTGAGACACAATGTTAAAATTTGGTTGCGTTGTAAAAATGTACTTTATATCATATTTAATACTAATAAGAAAGATAAATATTTTTACTCATTGCAGGTACATTGCGCTGCAATAGTTTAAAAAAAATAATATTTTGAAGAAATAATAAATGAACTGTGTAAGATGGCGTGAAAATAAGTAGATAAAAATAATCATTTTAGTAAAGAACAAATAGTCTTGCGGACTGAGTGCAGGTGCTGCGAATACGACGGAGGCGTCTTGAGTTCAAATCCCGCTATCATCTTAGGATTTTTTCAAGTCCAGTCCTTTTTAATGGAATTTATCGGTTGATTGGCGAGCTAAATCAGGCTTCCAAAAATTAATTCAAGTGAAATCTTTTAGCTGTGTGAAAGCACCCGTCGCGAAAAATTCTTTTATTAAAGATTTTTAGATGTATTTAACTTAATAAACTATTTTGTTTTGTCTTACGCTTAACGTAAACACTATGCAAACTTTCAAAAGCGCTTTATACAAACGCTTCTCAAACGCTGCAGCGTTGCAATTTTTGCCCTATGAATTCTCTACTGACCGATTCAAAACTTTCAACGAATTTCTGCAAAACGCTCATACAAACGTCAAATAAACGCTTATAAAACTTCTCATTTTTGTCGG